GGCTCTCTCGGGGGCTGCACAGGTGTTCCTTCAGATAGATGTTCCCCTTAGATGTTCCTGGTGCATGTTGTCTCTCTCCTCCTTTATAGTCCTCCTCCGCCAATCCCAACTCGGCTGCCCACACGCCGAGTACGCTGCTCTCCTCCAATCAGGAGCAGGATCAGCTCCTGGAGGTCATCACTCAAGTTGGCAAGAGGCAGCTGCGTAGAAGCTGTTTTCTCCTCTCCCAACGCCATATTGTGGGAGAGCAGATGCATAGAACAAGTCTTAATTCCAGTAACTTAGTCTAGTCCGGGTTGCTCCCCACACACCAGTGATGCTGGCATTTTATATTGGAGAGCTTGTTTGAGCCCTGGCTTCTCCTCTTCCAATGCAGCTCCTTGTTGATGTACCTGGGAAAGTACCGGAAGAACCAGGACAGAGTTCCTAGCTCCTGATTTTGGCCTGGCCCAGCCCCAACCTTAGTGGCCGTTTGTGGAATGAAACAAAGGATGGAAGATTGTTCTCTCTCTCTCTCTCTCCCCCTCCCTTCCTCCCTGTCACTCTGCCTTTCAAATAAAATGAAATGAAACATATAAAATCTTTTGGAAGGAAGACTTTTCTCTCTGTATCTCTCTCACTAACTCTGCCTGTCAAAAAAAAAAAAAAAGTTTAAAAGATGTCTTTACCCACATCAGAGGGCCAGATACCTTGTTCTGGCTCCAGACTCAAGCTCTGAGAGGCAGCAATGATCCTGGAAGTAACTGGGTTTCTGCCACTCACATGGGAGACCTGGACTGAGTTTCTGGCTACTCGCCCCTGTCCTGGTCTACCCCCAAAATTCAGGGTATTTCAGGAGTGAATGAGCAGATGATAATTCTCTTTTTCTCTCTCATTTTAATCTCAGTGTCTCTCTCTCTCTCTCATTCAAAAAAACTTCTGACCAGAAGAAATATGCTCTATCAGTTAACTCCATTATTATATTAAAGAAGTCTTCAGCAAGGTGCCATGTTTGGTATTAGTGGGTGGAAAAATGATTGGTTTACAATTTAAGATATATCTTATTTAGTTATCTCACACCAAGTGACTTTATATTACATTGTCACAATGAGTCAAGAAAATAACCTGGGAAAGAGAAAATGAAACTTCTGTTGGTCTTAAAAGGAAGCCAAAAAAACAAACAGATATTGATTATTAGGATTTATTATTTCATATTATCCTGCTTTTTTATTATTGCAGTGGTTATTTTATCTTGCAATGTGTTTTTTTTGTGTGTGTTATGACATTTATCAGTTTTTGCTAGTGTACTTACATAATCATATGTGTATCTATTTGTTTAATGTCTACATCGTCTATGTTTTCAGCTGATAGAATAAAGAATGATGCACACTACTTACCCAGTAGCTACTTGTTGCCTAAATGCAACATACTCCAGTGTCTGTGACTTCATTAAACTAATATTTATTGAGAGCTTAGAATGCGTCCTATACTTTGCAAGCCATCTTTCCAAATAATGCTCCTTCATGAAGGGCCGACAGTCCAGTAAATACATTGCATAAAAGAACTATGACTTAAGGTATTTACTACTTATTAACACCAGTTCAGACTATATATTTGTTTAGGTCAAGTTTCCTAAGTCCTCGTCTAAAAGACACAGTGACTCTATTATTAAGTAAGCAATTTCTATACATATTTGATGTCATTCTGAACCACAAATACTCTACAAAAGCAGTAAAAAAAAAAAAAACAGACTCCTCACTGCTCATATCTGTATACTACTAGTGTGCACAATACCTCCTCCTCCATGCCCATTTTCTCAAACATAAAACAAAAAAAAATGTATTAGATGATCTCATGATCTCATGCTTTTGGTCACTTTACCAAGGATATGTATTGAGCATTAGCTGAACAATGATTAAATATTTCCATAGAAAGTGCTTTGGAAGAAGAAATGTAAGTGAAGTTTTTTGTTGGCTAATTATAGTATCTCATATACATGGTCTGCAACTGAAAGGCAAAGAAAAAAAGAAAAATCCACTTGAAAGAATGTCAAATATTAACATTCTTCTTTATAGTTTGCCCTCCAAATTGTGTATTTTCAAGGCTGAGTAAAGAATCTGAGAGACTACAGAAAAGACTAAAATATAGCTCTAACTTTTGGTGAGAAGACTGTTCTGATGATTTAGGGGAATAAAGGGAAGCAAATAAAGACAAAGAAACATACTAAATCAGTTATTCACCAAATTGCTTTACATTTAATTTACTAACAGATTTTCTTCTAAGCATGTCCAAGAGATGCAAAGTTTAAAATTTAACTAATACAACATGAACAAGAATGAATAAAGAATGTACCTTGTGCCAACTATCGGGTAGAATCTGTCTGGAGAGACTACAGAAGCACTAGCAATTTTGGCTTATCAAAATGCAAGCAATAAGCGAAATAACAACTGAACAAATGAATTAAAGGTGAGATCTGCCATTCAAATAATGTTTAATTTTAAATGAACTACATAAGAAGCATTAAAATAACACAGCTACAGCTTATAGATTTTTTAAAAGGAGGAAAAAGTGATCTCAAGAAAAAAAATGAGGAAGGAAATAAAATCTTTTTTGTAACAGCCAATGTGATGCTGTAGTGAGCAGTGAGGCCTTTTTCTAAGAGTGTGATGGTAATCACAGAGTTTTTATTAAATATGGCTTTCCCATAACTTGTCCATAAGCATTTCCCATGACTCTGTAGCTGAGTATCTTGGCTGGAAAAGGATCTGGCCATTAGGAGGAGAGCTCTAGATAGGCTGAGTCCCTGTCGTGCTGAGAGACTTGGCACCTTTATATGCTACTTCCTAATACCAACCCCAACATAAAATGTCATCAGAAGCTTGCATAAATATTGGACTTAGATTCACATAAATTATTTCTGTCCTGAGGTGCTGAATGCCAGATTTTAGCAAAAACAACACTTTGAGTAAATAGAATTGGCGTATAAATGTAGGAATATTAATCCAACAAAATGATCATAGCAAAATAGAATCAAAAGTACACACTTGTAAATCTTGCAATGATGTGAGAGGTTTATCTTGTGCTCCTGTGTTTTTATTGAACTTTTCCATAGGGTTCTTTTAAGCTGACACAGCCAAAGTGCTTTGAATTACCAGTTGCTTTCCAGAATTGCAAAGTCTTTAATTTTCATTAAAACGCTTAGTAAATTTTAATAATCATATGTGTGACTAGTGCCTGTGTAGTGTTAGATCTGCAAGTTCATTTTAAGAGTAAACATTGGGACAATGAAGTACAATGCTAGATATGACTGTTCCTGTCAGCAAAAACACTGCTTTGTTTTATTACAAGTTACTAACAAAATGCCATGAACAAAAGATAAAGTTTCTATTTATAGACATTTTCTATTCTATAATATTATAGTTTGTGCACACTGCAAGGCTGTACCTAGTAGAGTTTTTCATATTGTCTAGGGTAGATATATAAATTGAGAAGTACAGAGCTCTTCTTTACACTTTCACACATCTTATTATGTGCAGCTTCCCCAATGTCCCATTTGGATTTTTGGTCTAATAAAACAGCGCTCACACCATCAGTTCTGAGTATTTATAAGTGAATGAAGATTTCCTGAAAATGATCATGATTTAGCTATTGGAGATAATAACATTATAATATTCTCAGTTATTCATTTTGGCTTTAAGTACTTATTAAATAATATTTATTCTTAAAATATGTACTTATAAAATTAAATGAAATTGCAACATGCAATAAAAACACATTTCTCTCTAAATTCCAATTGACTTCCTTCTTCACCAACACCTCTCATGTTCAATCTGTTTTTCTTGTTTCTATTCCCTCTCTGCACACCCAGCTTTCCTCTCTGATTTGCTGATATGCTATCCCCAAAGTCACTCTCTAATCCACATCCTCTACCCCCTCTTCCCCTTCTAGTTATTCTCTCATTCCCCACTGAACTGGGAATAACAGGCTCCCAAGGCTATCCTTACACTATAATTAAAGTATGAATTTCCAGGAGTAAGAAATTGCAGGCCATTTTTATTATGTTTCTATAATAAAGCCAGGTAACACTGAGAGAATTAAAATGGCTTTTTTTTCCCTAGAAGACGACTTGGTAAAGGTTTTTCCCCCCTTGGTTCTATTGTTTTAAGAGACGAGGAGTTGGAAATGGCACCAGGTCCACCAATTCTTCTTTTGAAAACACCTCTATCTTTTATATGATATATATCCCCCTAGATTCTGGGAATATGTTGTAAACTTGTAACAGATGGTGATGAAGCTTCACATTTTTATACAATACATTTTTTAAGATTCTGCATCTACTATATGTGTCTTCCAGGAAACATGACCTTGAATGAATGAAGTCATAGTTTGAAGGAGAAACACTCCACAGATTGACTAGTACAGAGATGATGAGTCAATTGGGTTCTGTTTTGTTATGGTTAATAAGATGAAATAATTTCAGATGAAAAACAGAATGTTGAAATAGAGGAATCAAAGGTCATCCTAACACTGGAGGTGCATCTGTTAATTGTTCCAGGAAAACCAGTGAGCCGTATTTTGTCCTGAACAGAAACACGTGGAAGATGGAATATCACTGTCTAAGCAGGAGCACTGTTTGCTTCTCTTGGATAATGTTGGGGGTGTACCAAAAATTGTTCTGGCACAATACCTACCAGCATGAATGTTAGGAGGCTTCTAACACTGTGAGTGCTGATATTTTATGAATGTTTTATCACTGGCTTGAAAACAAGAAGTTTGCAATTGAATCAACAGTATGTCAGACAGACAAAATATTAAAAAAAAAAAGTCAGTGAGAATTACTAATGTCCCTGTTGTAAATACAAACCGAAGTTAATAAGAAACATGATCCTCTTAACCGATTAACAAAAGTCAAGTTTTAATTGCATGGCTTCCCAGACAAACCAAGTGGCGCTGTTAACTTGAGCACTGGTTGTTTAGAGGGTGCAGTATTGGGGGAAACTGCTGCATATTCAGTTACTCACCTCTTTTTTCGACAGCTTCAATGCATTGCTTTACGAACCACGGAACTGTGGAATTTTCACGTTCACACACTGTGTGCAGATGAGAGCCAAAAATTTGATCTGCAAAAGAAACAAAGATGAGCTTCATTAGAATCCAAGCTTGCGTTGTGCTTTAATTTGATTCTGTTTTCATATCCACTGCATGCAGAAATCTTCATCTTGCATAGGAATTGATTTTTTTTGCTTTAATCCCAAAGCATCTATGGCAGACATACAAAGACCATAACTCTCTCTGTTGTGGAACAGGACCCTGGCCCTAGAGTAAAGAAACTAACATGCTGTCATTGATTAGGCAGGGATGACTGAGTAAGTTATAGTCTCTCTTGGCCTTAACTTGGTTGTCTATAAAATAATGACAAAGGATTAAAGGAACTTCCACAAAATAATTAATCTTAGCATTCTTGGTATCCTGAGTGTTTTACAAGAAGCTTATCAGTGGACATCAAAACCATGATTTTATCCGGAAATTCAGGGCATTCGTTCTGTGGCTCAATGATACTTGAGGTGGCGAATTTCTGAAGCTGTCGTTTGAAGTGAAGTAGTATCTCCTCTGTCTTGAAGGAGCTCCTGCTTTTTAACTTAAGCATCACCTTTCCTTGAGAGCCCAGCTCAGAACTTACTTTGTCTACAAACACTTGCCTCTCTGCCTCAGCTTTGTTCTAGGATCTTTGGGACATCCGTTCCTGAGGATGCTCACAGATTATTGAGGAGAAAGAGCCTGTGACCAAAACGGATTATGCAACACTAAGCAAAGTTAAGCAGATTTCTTTAATGAGCATTTATCTGAAGAGCTTGTTCTATGCCAGCGTGTACTCTGAGTCTCCATGAGAGGGTGGGGGCTGCAGTATTTCCCAAACTTATTTGAGCAAGGTCCTTTAGTTTTAGAGATCGTATCTCCAGACCAATGTTTCTGAGAACACACTTTGAAATCCTAGTCTAACCTTCTCATTTAGAACGTGAGTTATACTACCTGAGTTGTGTATTTATATTTATAATATGTGGAATATACTTTCTGAAAACCAGTTCTGAATGCCTGAATCATCGATGTCTTCTTATGTTTGTAAGGGTGCTTAGCATTCAAACCAGCCTATGTTATTCACGCATTGACACTTGTCTTTTTTGAAAAAAAAAAAAAAAAAGTGGTAAAATACACATACACATCCTCCACCTGTGGCGCCAGCACCCTGGGTTCTAGTCCTGGTTGGGGTACCGGTTCTGTCCCAGTTGATCCTCTTCCAGTCCAGCTCTCTGCTGTGGCCTGGGAGGGCAGTGGAGGATGGTCCAAGTGCTTGGGCCCTGCACCCCATGGGAGACCGGGAGGAAGTGCCTGGCTCCTGGCTCAGGATCGGTGCAGTGCACCAGCTGCAGAGCGCCGGCCATAGGAGCCATTTGGGGGGTGAACCAACAGAAAAGGAAGACCTTCCTCTCTGTCTCTCTCTATGTCTAACTCTGCCTGTCCAAAAAAAAAAAAAAAAAAAACAAAACAAAAAAAAAAACACATACACAGACTTCATTGTAACCATTTTTAAGGTAAAGTTCAGTAGCATTAGGTGCATTCCCAATGTGTGTAACCATTACTGCCAGTCATTTCCACAAGTTATTTCGATAGTATTGACATTCGTGAAAGAAGTATGTTGTTAGTCCGTTCAAGGGCCACCCATTCCACTCAAATGTCCCTCTTGTGATTTACATGTGACTTCTGCTAATTAGTTGATTTCATCTCCCTCCTTTCTGTCTCTCACTAAATTGCTGGGATCCCTACTCTCCACATTATTGTTTCTCATCACTGCCAGGCACTCTTCTGGAAGACACTGTCTTACTCAGCAGTGGAGAAACTCAATGAACTTCAAAAAATATGTATAGAATTTGGGAGAAAAATATATACTGCAGCGTAGCAGAAAGCTCCATGATACAGTATCATAAAAGGGAGGGTAAATACAAAGGAACAAAAATCCTTTGTTGAATGTTGCTAATCCATTTTGATCGCAGACTATTTTTTTCCTCAATCATCTGTGAACATTCTGAGGAATTGGTATCTCAAAGAATCTTTGTCACAAAATATGGAAAGCTGTAATAGGAAGGAAACACTTTCAGAGAGATCGCAAGGAAGTTATGATATTCTTTTCTTAAGAAAAGTAACAGTTTAATTGCTGACAACCCAGCATGAAGGGAATCAATTAAAGCTAAAGCACTACCAATAACATAGTCTAATACGAAACTGCATATTTATCCTAGAGACCAAAATAAGATAAGAACAAAATACACAGAATATGCAGAAGTGAAGAAAAATCATGGACATTTGTTTTGAATACTTGGTCAAATAATGAACACTTGTTGAAAACAGTGAGTGGCTGTGTATGGAAGTGTAACATAGAGTATTAGCTAAGAAAAAGCAACCCAAAACTTAGGAACAAATGATTCAAATTGCCTAGGGCGCACGAATCTGCCCCTGGGGATGAATCCCATATTGAAGCACTTGGATTTTAGTCCTGGCTCCACTTTGAATTCCAGCTTTCTGCTAATGCATAGCCCGTGAGGCAGTAAGTGATGGCTCAAGTCATTGGGTCTCTGCCACCCACACAGGAGACCTGGATTGCGGTCCCAGCTCCTGACTTCATCTTGGCCCAGCTATGGCTATTGAAGGCACTTGTAGAGTAAATCAGTGGACAGGGGAATTTCTGTCAGTCCCACCCCTTTTTAAATAAATAAATAGGCTAGAAATTATAGTTAGGACAAATGGCTATAAAGTACAAAACCCCTCAATAGACTTCATAACTCATGCTAATTTTTAAAAAAAATATTTATTATCTATCTTCACAGAAAATATGGTAGACAAATAAGTTGTAAAAAGATATGGAAAAGTATCTGACATTGTAGGAGTTAATCAAAGTATTAAAAGAATATACAAAAAAATATAGCAGGTATCATAAAAGACACTGAAAACTAAGAAAGCTGTCCTTTAGTGTAAGGTCATTTGATGCAGATGCAGGGTGTACATATGTGTATGTGTGTGAGAGAAAGAGAGACAGATAAATTACATAATGAAAGTCCTTCAAGAAAATCTGGTTCCTGAATAGAGTGGAAGTTGAATTTTGGAGGGAGTTTTTATTTTTCATTCTTAACTGATACATAAAATTGTATGTGTTTATGAGGTATTGTGTGATGTTTTAATACACGTATACACTGTGTAATGAAGTTAAACATATTTATCTCCTCAAACATTTGTCATTCCTTTATAGTGAAAACTTCTTACCCTCCTCTTTCCCCAGTCATTGGGAATCACCATTGTACTCTAAACTTTCATGAGATCAACTTTTTAAGATTCCACTTATGGGTGAAATCATATGATATCTGTCTTTCTGGGCTTGGCTTATTTCAACTGACATAATGTTCCCTAGTTTCATTCATGTTTTTCATGTTGCTGCAATTGGCAAGACTTCACCCTTTTATGGCTGCATAGTATTCCATTGATTATGGATATTATATTCGCTTAATCCATTTATCAGTGATTGGACACTTAGGCTGTTTACATTTCTTGGCAATTGTGAATGGAGCTGCAATAAACATGGGGGTGCAGATGTCTCTCCAACAGACTGATTTCATTTCCCTTAGATATATACCCAGTAGTAGGATTGCAGCTTCTTTTTTTAAATTAGTTTTTAAAGATTTTATTTATTTATTTGAGAGGTAGAGTTACAGACAGTGAGAGAGAGAGACAGAGAGAAAAGCCTTCCATCTGCTGGTTCACTCCCCAGATGACCACAATGGCCAGAGCTGCGCCGATCTGAAGCCAGGAGCCAGGAGCTTCTTCCTGGTCTCCCATGCAGGTGCAGAGGCCCAAACACTTGGGCCATCTTTTGCTTTCCCAGGCCACAGCAGAGAGCTAGACCGGAAGAGGAGCAGCCAGCCACAAGCAAAGGATTAACCTATTTTGCACCATAGCGGCAGCCCCTGCTGGTTCTTATGGTTGTTTTATTTTTCTATTTTCTATTTTCAGTTTTTTTTTTTTTTTTTTGAGGAACACCTACAATGTTTTCACAATGGTTGTGCTAATTTATATTCCCACCAAGAGTGTGCTAGAGATCCCTTTTTTTCCCCCATATTTCCATATCTGTGTCATTACTTGTTATCTTTGTCTTTTTTTTATAATAGCCAATCAAATTGGCATGAAGTTTTTGTTGTTGATAGACCGTCATCAGAAGATAGAGATAAGGTGTTCTAGCGGATTTACTCTTTCATTGATTCACATATTTATAACACAAAATGCTGTGTGCTTGTGTCAGGAACGAGAAAACGCACTGCTGAAAAGAATGATCAGGGCTCATTTCCCGTCCTCTTTCAGCAGTTTCCTTTCGAGTGGCAGGAACATATAAGTAAATGTATGAGGATGATTAATCCAGGTAAATGACCTAACTGGGAAGCACAGGGCAAGGCTGAAGTAGGTGGGGGGCATCAGACCGGTCTTCAACAGCTAGGGGAGAATTCCCAGAGACGAAAGCTGGGTTCTCAAGGGGAAGGCAGACGCATGTTGGGGAAGCAAAAGAGGAACAGAGGGCACATAGGGAATAGAGAGGAGGGTAAGCAAATGTATCAATGATGGGAAGAATAATTAGAAGGTCAGGGAAGGCTGAAGAAAACTCTCTTATTAAGAGAAATTTTGATAATTAAACTCTTAGAGGAGATAAGATTCTAATTATGAGGTATCTTAAATTGTGTGAGATAGGTTAAATTATTTGAGAATAGGCAGATACCATGATTTCCTAACTCCTTTCTTGTTTTTAGAAACCACTTGTAAGACAGAATCTGAAAACGATCTGTGCTGGGGCTGACGCTGTGACACAGTAGGCTAAGCTTCCACCTACAATGCTGGCATCCCATGTGGTGCTGATTCATGTCCTGGATGCTCCTCTTCCAATCCAGCTCTCTGCTATGGCCTGGGAAAGCAGTGGAAGATGGCCCAAGTCCTTGGGCCCTTGTGCCCATGTGAGTGACCAGGAAGACACTCTTGACTCCTGGCTTAGGATTGGCCCAGTTCTAGAGATTGCAGCCATTTGGGGAGT